CAAGCTGAAGAAGATGCACAGTGCATGCTTGAAATCTTGGATACTGCAGGAATAGACTACTTTACAGCAATGAGGATTTGTACAGGAAAAATGAATAAGGCTTTGTATTAGTTTATTCCATCACAGCACAGACCACATTTCATGACTTGTAAGATATGAGACAACAGATTCTTCAAGTTAAAGACACTGATGATGTTCCAGTGCTTCTGGTCAGTAATAAATGTGACTTGGAAGATGAAAGAGTTGTAGGAAAGGAATAAGGTCAAAATCTTGCAAAACAATGGAACAACAGTACATTCTTAGAATCTTCTGCAAAATCAAAAATAAATGTTAGGGATCTTTTATGACCTGGTGTGGCAAATTAACAGAAAAACTCCAGTGCCCGGGAAGGATTGCAAAAAGTCATGTCAGCTGCTTTAGTGTACTATTAATAAATGCATTGTGGCTGGGTGCGACGGCTCACGCCTGTAACCCTAGCACTCTGGGAGGCTGAGGCGGGAGGATTGTTTGAGCTCAGGAGTTCGAGACAAGCCTGAGCAAGACCCCGTCTCTACTAAAAATAGAAAGAAATTGGCAAAACAATTAAAAATAGAAAAAATTAGCCGGGCATGGTGGCGCATGCCTGTAGTCCCAGCTACCCAGGAGGCTGAGGCAGAAGGATCACTTGAGCCCAGGAGTTTGAGGCTGCTGTGAGCTAGGCTGACGCCACGGCACTCTAGCCCAGGCAAGAGAGTGAGACTCTATCTCATACATACGTACATACATAAATAAATGCATTGTACCTCTGGGCCAGGTCTGAAGAACTGTTGCCCAATTCCACAGTGCCAGCACTCTAACTTTGTTAAACCTACCAACATCTTACATGGACTTTCTTGTGGTGGTACCCTTTAAGGGGGAGATGAAATCTACTATATCAGTTTGTATATTCTAATCACTTTCCAGTATCACAAGAGAGATTTTTACTTATGTAATAGTCCTAGAGTATGCAGCGGTAAAACCAGAGGCTACATCCAATATTACTGCTAAGAAACATTCTTTATCCACCAATGTTGTACATGTATGAAAATGGTGTACCCTATACTTTAGCATGCCCCATATTTTGTAATGCAAATCCTAAAAGCACCACTATCTTAGAATAAAGTCCAAAGAGCTCCTAAAAAAAGATTAAGATAAATAAAAAGACATTCTACATTCCCAAATATCAAGTTTCAATATTATAAAGATGCCAATTCTTCCTAAATTAACCTATAAACTTAATGCAAACCCTATGAAAATACCAAAATAACTCCGGGGAACTCAAAAAAATGATACTAAAGTTCATCTAGAAAAATATGATAGCCAGAAAATTTCTGAAAAATAATAGTAACTTAGGCAGGTGGAGTAGGGATTACTTCCACTACATATTAAAACATACCGTGAACGATGAATCGAAATAGGTAAGGAAAAATAAATACGAACTATAGGTCAATAAAAGAGAATCCAGAAACAGACCAGAATACAAATGGAAATTTAGTCTATGATAAAGGTAGTATTTCAGATTAGTTGGGGAAAGAGAGATTATCCAATAAAACCTGGCACAATATCTGGCTATTTAGAAAGAAGTGAAGCTGGATCACTGTTAAATACTGTATCAGACAGGGTTCTGTGGAGGAAACAAACTCCTCTAGATATTTCAAGAAAGGGATTTAACACAAAGAATTAGGTCCTTACAGAATCCACTGAAAAAGCTGTAGGAGCAGAATCTGGAGACTCGTACCCATGAAGCAGGTGATAAGACACTGAAACGTGGGAGTCTGGTTGCTACAAACAACTCCTGTCTGCGGGAGCTTGTCTGTCCACTGGCACATCATTGGCGGAATCTAACCACAGACCCTACTTACCTTAGAGTCTGCAAAACTTCTTGTTTAGCTTTTTATCCCCTCTGGTATGGGGTGGGGAGCATTGGACATTAACATCAAGTGCTAAGAGACAATATCTAGCATACATTCTTAACACAAAAATTAATTCCAGATGGATGAAAGTGTTATCTGTAAAAAATAAAATGAATCTATTAAAATGTTCTAGAAGAGAGAGAGCCCTGTGAAGCAACGCCGCCGCCGCCGGCCTAGTTATCATCACACACGGGGAAGAGCCGCAGCTGCCGCAGCCGGCCCCAGGCACCAGCACCGTAACCAGGAGCAGCCAGCCCCAGGCACCAGCACCGTAACCAAGAGCAGAGGTGCAGGGAGCGGTGGCCTGGGCAGGCTTGCATTGGCGGCGCCTGCCGGCGGGGACAAGAAGGTCATCGCAACAAAGGTTTTAGGGACAGTAAAATGGTTCAATGTAAGAAACAGATATGGTTTCATCAACAGGAATGACACCAAGGAAGATGTATTTGCACACCAGACTGCCGTAAAGAAGAACAACCCCAGGAAGCACCTTCGCAGTGTAGGAGACGGAGAGACCGTGGAGTTTCATGGTGTTGAAGGAGAAAAGGGTGCGGAGGCAGCAATGTCACAGGCCCTGGTGGAATCCAGTTCAAGGCAGTAAATATGCAGCAGACCGTAACCGTTACAGACGCCATCCGCGTCGCAGGGTCCTCCACGCAGTCACCAGCAGAATCATCAGAACAGTGAGCGCGACAGACGCCATCCGCGTCGCAGGGTCCTCCACGCAGTCACCAGCAGAATCATCAGAACAGTGAGCGCAGGGAAGAGAATGGGGGACCGGAGCGTGCTGCTGAAGGCCCGGCAACGCGGCCCCACCGCAGGCGAAGGCTCCCACCTTACTGCATGCGGAGACCCTGTGGGCGTGGACCACAGTATCCCAACCCTCCTGTGCAGGGAGAAGTGATGGAGGGTGCTGACAGCCAGGGTGCGGGAGGACAAGGTAGACCACCAGTAAGACAGAACATGAATCGGGGTTATGGACCCCGGTTCCGCAGGGGCCCTCCTCGCCAAAGACGGCCCAGAGAGGACGGCAATGAAGAGGATAAAGAGAACCAAGGAGATGAGACCCAAGGTCAGCAGCCGCCTCAACGTCGGTACCCCGCAACTTCAATTACCGACGCAGACGCCCAGAAAACCCTAAACCACAAGACAGCAAAGAGACAAAAGCGGCCGATCCACCAGCTGAGAATTCGTCCGCTCCGGAGGCCGAGCAGGGCCGGGCTGAGTAAACGCCGGCTGACCATCTCCACCATCGTCCGGTTAGTCATCCAACAAGAAGAAATGAATATGAAATTCCAGCAATAAGAAATGAGCGAAGATTGGAGCTGAAGACCTTAAGTGCTTGCTTTTTGCCCGTTGACCAGATAACTAGCACTATCTGCATTACCTATGCAGCATGGGGTTTTTATTATTTTTACCTAAAGATGTCTTTTTTGGTAATAACAAACGTGTTTTTTAAAAAAGCCTGGTTTTTCTCAATACGCCTTTAAAGGTTTTTAAATTGTTTCATATCTGATCAAGTTGAGATTTTTAAGAACTTCATTTTTAATTTGTAATAAAAGTTTACAACTTGATTTTTTCAAAAAAGTCAACAAACTGCAAGCACCTGTTAATAAAGGTCTTAAATAACTAAAAAAAAAAAAAATGTTCTAGGCCAGGCGCGGTGGCTCACACCTGTAATCCTAGCACTCTGGGAGGCCGAGGTGGGTGGATCGCTCAAGGTCAGGAGTTCGAGACCAGCCTGAGCAAGAGCGAGACCCCAGCCCCAACAAAAAATAGAAAGAAATGATCTGGACAACTAAAAATATATATATATAGAAAAAATTAGCCGGGCATGGTGGTGCATGCCTGTAGTCCCAGCTACTCGGGAGGATGAGGCAGGAGGATCGCTTGAGCCCAGGAATTTGAGGGTGCTGTGAGCAAGGGTGACACCACGGCACTCTAGCCAGGGCAACAGAGCCAGACTCTGTCTCAAAAAAAAAAAAAAATGTTCTAGAAGAATCCATGGGTGAATTTATAATCTTGGAGTGTGGAAAGTATTTCTAAGTAAAGCATGAAATTCAGAAACCAAAAAGGAAAAGTGACAGATTTATCTACAATGAAAATTAAAAATGGTGCTATCTTCAATATTTTACATCTTTTGATCAGCTGTGTCACTGCTAGGAATTTACATTATGGAAATATTTGTGTAAGTTTGCAAAAGTATGTACCCAAACAATGCAGCATTATTTGTAAGAGCAAAAGTCCGAACACAGGGATATATAAAATCATGGTCTACCATATGACAGAACACTAGGCCAAGTAAAAGGAGAGATTTGAAATAAAGATGTTCCCTTTGTATAACACAAACACATCTGCAGACAAATGCTATCTAACTTTATACATATTACATTTTTTTTGAAAAAGTCATTAGGGGTTATCTCAGGAATACGATGATACTTTTTTTCCTTCTTTGTAACTCTCATTTAGAACTTTTAAACTTCCCAATTCCCCCTTCACCCCAGAAAAAACAAACTAGGTTAATTTTTGTAACTATGTATTTATTTTTTCTTAGAATATTGATGATTATTTTTGGTTTTCTAATTTAAACATACATGATTTCAAAATTACAGAAAATTGTGTTCTTTAGATGTATCTAGTGAGATAGTGAAATCACTCTTATTTATATTAATGACAATTATTTTGTATACCTAAAAGGAATTGTAAATTTCAGTTGAAAGAAAAACTGTACTTACAGGAAATAGTTCTATCATACAATACACATTTACAGTTTTTACTTTTACAGTCTCTTCATTTAAAATCATTCTTTCCCAAAAAACTATACTTCAGCATAAGACACTTAGATACAAGTATCCAGTGAGAAATTAGTATATACATAGGTGGCTGTGAAAAATTACCCACAATGCTAATATAGTCTGCTCCAAAGGTGAAAAAATTTCCTTTCAGAAAGCATTTTAACATTTCTTCCCATCATCTACAAAGCAACAATATTTAAATTATCAAAAATGGCAAATCCAATAACACATAATCAAATAGCCCCTTAAGAAATGTATTTGAAAAGCCATTATTCCCTAAAATATTTACATTGTTTAAATTACATGAAAGCAACATTTTCTTGTTCTATTTTATTTAGTTTAACATATTAATAAGGATCTGTAAAAGCCCCCCCCCCGCCAAAAAAAAGGATGGCTTTATTCATCCTTAAAAAAGGAGACTTTATCCTTGGGTTTGTTCAACATCTTTATATCATCCAACAGCTTTTTGGGTGTTAAAATATGCGTAGAACCTGATAGGAGAAAAGATAACTTTTCAGAGGCCAGTAGTTCAATCAGTTTTCCTCGGTTTAATATATTGTGTTGTCCTTCAAATATGCAAAGTGCAGTAATTTGGGGCAGTTTAACATTTTCTACACGACATCTTCCCGAAATATGCCTACTCTATAACAGTCAATCCTTCCTCTTAGTTGACCATGCTCAGTAACTTCGGAAACACTGCCTATTCCTAATGCTTTGTCTCCTCTGTGCTGGGAGACGGAGGAGCCAAACTGGGGATCACCCTGTCCGCAGAACTGCAACAGCTGTCATTCCCTAACAGAGACCCGCTGAACAGTGCCTCACATCGAGGCCTGACATACAGATCCTGCACCTCCTGAGGCAGGAGACTTTACCTATTGGTGGCTTTGACTAAAATCTTAAAACTCAATTCCACACAGGCTCTGCCAATGTCAGGTCTACATCCACAAAAAATTTGAAACATTTTTCAAGTAGAACTGTATTTATGCATCAAAACTAATAATGAAAGCAAACAAAATCATAGAACATAGTATTTTAAAGGAACAAGCTCATTTCCCCGAAGTCAGAATATTTAAAAATAAAATTATTAAAAAGCCAACCAGGAAAAAATTCTAACATGTCAGATAAAACACTTTCTATGGTTTAAAAAAAACTTTTTTTGTATTCAACAATTTAGTCTTAAATATATAATACAAGATCAAGTTTTATGTGTACATTTTTGTATTTAGAGTTTGCTTTAAAAAATAGAAAAGAGAAAAACAAGTCTTACCAATAATAACTTCACAGGATTTGTGTGCCTGAGAAACTTCATAAGCACAACGCATTTCAGAGTATGTAATTCCTCCAATTACAAAAACAATCAGCTTTGACCCATTTTTTCGGTCTTCTAAGTAATTAGCCCTGGGTTTCTGGCGAGCACTTAAAAGTGAAAAAAAGCAAACATGTTAAAAACATTTACAAAGCCAAAATGCTTGGAGACTTTTTAAAAAGCCTAACCTAATTCGACCAAACTCAAATTTAGTATCAATCACACTGATTTTAAGGAAATGACTTAATTATGGTGTGAATAGAACACCAAGAGTTAGGCAAGACAGCCCATTTCAAGTTTCGATTTTGACAAAACACTACCTTAGCATTTTTACCTATGAAGTAGAGTTCATACCTTTCCTCCCTTATTTCATATTAAGAAATAATATATCTGAAAAGTCTGCAACTTCTTGAAATTAAAAAAAATTAACTAAAATGGCACTGAAACAGTAAGATTTTGAAGGCATGAAGGGGAAGGGGGCAGGTGCTGATGTGGAGGTGATGTGGTACAGGGATGGCTCTTGCTGGAATTCGGGAAGGCATGATGGTACGAGGCTGGGTGTCAAAAGTCAGGTCTGGTTCAGTGCAGTGACTTGGAAATGGAAAAAAAAAAAAAAAAA